AAGAGAATTCTGAGGCAGTCTTCTGAAATTCATTTTTCAGTAACTCATCTGTAGGCCATACAGTGCGTTTTGCCCCTTCTAGGAGTTTCAGGCATTTCAAAGAACATACCTATTAGTGATTAATATTGATACTTAGAAGAATGTCTTTTTCTTAGAAAAGGCTCGAGGCTTTGTTTATATTTGCTTTGCAGGACTTTCGTTTCACTATTTAGCAGTAGACCTCTACTCCGAAAAAAATCCAAGTCGCTATGGAAGAATGGAGTAGAAGGGCGTGTAGATGCCCCGGGCACTGAGAACCAGCCACTGCCATGTCGTTGGGACATGCCCGACTCAGCACAGTGGTGGCAGTCAGGACTCCACTGATTTTCAGGGCTGGTCCGAGATGCCAGGCTGCTCACTTTCCCTCTCTGGGCCTCACCTTGCTCACCCTAAAGGAAGATTCCTTGTTACACGGGGCTGTTGCATAAACATTTGGATTACGGGGATGTGAAAACAGGCACCCTGCAAAGCATCACAGAAATGCAAGGAATTATTATGATGCCACAGTAACTATACTGCTGATCCTGTGCACATCTCTGCGTTTGAAGAAATAACAAACAAAAGAAAGCAACACATCCCTTCCCGGCCCCCACCCCACAAATTTTCAATCATGTTCTATTACCCAGACACAATGCTGGAAGCTGCTTGTTTAAAAGATACATTGGACAGTTGCCTGCCTTTTCTTAGGACGTGTAGAGTCTCTAACACTCCTGAGAAAGAGAAATGAAGAGGGGTCTCTTCACCCCAGGGAGAAAAGCCCTAAAGTACTTAAAGGACTTGAACCTCAAAGAAAGGCCTGGGCTGCATCTTCCTTCATGTGAGAGATATGCGGGACACTGAGGACCCTGTGTTTTTAGCAATTTGTTTTCCATGGATGTTCAGTTTTGTGCACTGTTTGGGGGCAGAGGCCAGGGGGCGTTCTATGGCCAAATAACGTTCACAAACTCTGGAAGACATGTTCTCTTGGGGGTCCTTCCTCATAAGAAAAATTAGGAATCCAAGGTTAGCATTTATATGGGATTAGAATGTAAAAGAAAAGGAAAACACCTTTCCAAATATGTTATTTCAGAAACCGTATCTCAAGCAAATAGGAAGTATTTGGAGAATAAAAGGAATGATATATTTGTCTTAAAATCTGTGAAGTCCTGACAGTGTAAATACTTTGAAAGAAGGACCTCTACTTGTAACGTAAGTGTTAAGGGTAGAATCGAAATTGCTGGCAAAGGACGCACCTGGCTGGCCTTCTTGCTGCCTTTCTTGATGTTAAAAGGGAAGCAGATACAGGAGGCCCAGACCATGATAAGCCGTGTCCATTCCCTGAAGGTCTGCCCTAACACTGGGAGCAGGAATGATCAGAGTTTCCTTAATAGTTGTTGATTTAAATTAAAACAGCCAATGCCATTATTACTACAGGTAATATTTCATACATGTCTCCACTTTCTCCATGGGAAGCAGTGTTTGATTGGAAAAACGCATGGCATTTGGAGTCAGATGACAGCCTATTTGGGGCTTAAGTTCTCTCCTTATTGTAAGCCTAGAAAACAAGATGTAGGTCATTTTTCCATCCTTGTCTTCAGTTCTGTCAGGTGAACTGGGATCATCCCCTCCCTCAGAGGTGGGTTGGGATCCAAAGAGAGTCCCTTTGTTACCATGGTTTGAGGAAGCAGTTAAGCTCTCTACAGCATGAGATGCAAGCTCTCTGATTTTTTTTTTAAGATTTATTTATTTATTTTAGAGAGAGAACGAGAGCATCACACAGGGAGAGGCAGAGGGAGAGGGAGAGAGAGGATCTCAAGCAGACTCCCCACTGAGCATGGAGCCCAATACAGGGCTTGATCTCAAAACCCTGAGATCATGATCTGAGCTGAAACTGAGAGTCAGACGTGTAACCTACTGAGCCACCCAGGTGCCCCACAATTTAATTTTAATCCTCACAGAGACTGTGAGGTGGCGTTGACAAGCCCGTTTTATAGAAGGAAATCTGAAGTGACAAAGAGTTCACAAGGTCTTCTAAGGACACCAAGCCATTGCCAGAGTTAAACCTCTGTCTCCAACTCTCATGCCACTGCCACACAGTATGTTCCTTCACTCTCTGGCCACATATGTTTTAAGATAAGCTTCCCACCTCACCACCTCATTCCAGTCTCATAGCTCTCCCATCCTCCTTCCACTCCAGAGAGACCTTTCTAATCTGATGAGCTCCCCTCCCTGCTGAAAATCCCCACTTAGGTTTCTGTTGCCTGGATGTTCCTACCTGAGGGTCTTTAGATATGTTCCCTGTAGCCTGTGAGCTTCCTGAAATTGTAAGTAAATTTGGTGTGTCTTTTTATGAATGTCAGTCTCTGCCAAAAGGGAGTTGAGCGCATCAGATTTTCAGAGTTGCCTGTGGTCTCACACAGGGCCTAGAGCCCCTGGCCCCTAGAAAAGACCAAAGTGCCCAGGATGGCATGTCAGTCATGAGCTGGCCCTTCCTTTCTCTCACCTCTTCAGTTTTAAACACAGAACCACTTGCATTTTTCCCCACTCACACCCAACTGTGTCCACCTTCAGCCTTTTGCTCCTCTCAGAGCTCCCCCTTGACCTGGGTTAGCCCATTCCAGGGCTTTGCTAGTATCCAACCTATCTTTATCACTTGAATTCATTGCATTTGAAAAGTTGTATTTCATGGATTGCAGAAGTCGAATTACATACTGTAAAAGAAACACAAACTTAGAAATTAAAAGGTCCTCAGGATTCCAAACCCAGAGATGATCCCCTTTAACACAGGAGTATATGTCCTTTCAGACTCTTCTCCCTACCTATATAGAGAATAGTAGATAATTAAACTGTACTTACTTTTCAAAAATGGGGCCATCATTTAGATTTCCCATCCTATCACTGGATCTGTCCCTTTGATAGCATGGCTACACCATCTTCTTTCATACTTACACAGATAGATTTATAATGTTCTCTTAAAACCTGTTCACATTCCATTGTATGTATCTATCATTGTCCATTTAAGTAACCTCTTACCCATGGACAGATAGTTACACTGTTACTTTTGGTTCCTTCTTTTTCCACATATAGTTCCTGTGACTGGCCTTGGTCAAATAATTTTATGATTATTTCTGCAAAATTTTCCTAGAAGTGGATAACATCTGTGCTATTGAATATTTAATATTACTAGCAAATCACTCGTCGAATGTTCAAATGTTATTTGCACTTTAGAGGAGGCCTTCCATTGAACATTTAATGTTTATTGAATAAATGAGTCTAGGATGGGCCCCTGTGCTGGGTTTATCATAACTAGCTCTGCACTGATCTTTTTGGGTGTCAGATTTCCTTATCTCACAATGAATAAGAGATTTCGGCATGCAGCTCTATTTTTTGTCTTTGTCACTAGCCATATGTCATAGTTTGCTCACTGCTGTCCATTCTCCAATCCAAATTGCCCAACAATGAAATAAAAACCCAGGGTAAGATTAATAACCAACATAAAAAATTCTTGGCCTTTTTTGGCCTTCTGTATGTCTATATTCCAACTTTCTACCCATTTTTTAAAAACCTAAAAAACTGGAAAATACAGAGAAAAGTCCAAAGTAAGTGCCAATTAACAACTTCACATATGTGTAGAAGGCATTTTATGCCTCAGACATCACACAAATAATTAATATGCATCTTGGAGTGGTGGAAATAAATGTTGGTAGTAAGGATAAAACATTTGTACAGGGATTTATACTTTACAGGATTTTCACATCCAAGAACACATTTGCTATAGTATGGATAATAGGTGAATGAATATGCAGCTTCAGGTTTTGTTGAACTGATTCTTATAAACTGTTCATGAAAGGAGAGTCTCTTGATCAACAACTTAAGAATGCGTAAGCATCAAGGAAAGAACATTCTCACAATCTCAGCTCTCCCCATCAGCTATTGTGGATGTCATTATTAACTTTTTGTAAGTTTTTTTCTGTTACAAGCACTTTGAATAAAGATGGTGGGGTGTGATATTGGAAATGGGCAAAGCTATAATGTAGGCAAAGGGAAATACAATAATAAGTTCCCTTTTATTTACATAGTGCAAAGCTATTTTACATCTGGCACCTGGCCTTCCTTCTTTCTCTACATACTTCAGATTCTTGGTTGAACGTCTCAAGTAATCTTTCCCCTGACACTTGATTCCCTGACATTGCTATAATTCTGGCTCACCCACCTATTTAAACACCAATCCAGCATCAATGCTATTGATGTACCTTCCCCATTTGGTACATGGCTGTTTGTAGTCCTACGGGGAGAAGCTACTCAACCTCCTTAACTGGAACACAGGGTCATTCACTTTGTGCACCCCTGTGCCCCATAAGACCCAACTCATCTCCTACCTCAAGTTTTATACATGGTGCAGAAATATTCAACTGCCAGGAGCCCCTATGCCACTTGGCCTTTTTCTCACCTGAATGTAAAAAACTTCCACCTGTAAGTTTCCTGCCCTTTAGCTGAGTAAGTCCTAGTCTGTATCTGCCTCTCCTCTGGAATTCTTCCTTTCGGGCTTCAGGAGAGGTCCCTTTATGTACCCTGGTTGTGCACTTTCTATAGTTGCTTTATCTTTAATTATTGAAGGACCTGAATCTCTCACTTGACCACAAACTCCTTAAGTCGGGGAGGGGGGAGAATCAACATACCTTGTTTTTATAAATATACAACCGGTACATAGTGACTGCTTAGCAATTGTTGAATGAAATGAATCCCTACTGTTGTAAACATGGATTTCTAAAGCCCAATAGATGACTCATCTCGATAAGACAAGTGGATCCTGTAAGATGGTTTGTCCCAGGTCAGACCCTGAAGAACTGATAAAACTGATTGTAAACCACAGATCTCTTAATAACCATGTCCAGTACTTTTTTGCCTACAGTGCAAATACTGTGTGATTGTCTTGATTGTCTAGATTGTACTTAAAGAACTATGTGTCTTCTGCCTTTCAGGGTGGACAAACAGGTTCCATGGGGCCTCCAGCTGTCCCCCCCTCATTCCGCCCTGAAGATGAGCTTGAACACCTGACCAAGAAGATGCTGTATGATATGGAAAATCCACCTGCTGATGAATACTTTGGTGAGTGGGGCCTAGAGCTGGTTTCTGAAGTAAATGCCTTCTGTTTTTCTTAATTATTAATTAAGAGTATTATCAGCTCCACTGGTAAAGGATTTGAGGCTGGGTGCATTGGAGTTGGTGTGCATCTGCACACAACAGAGTGTTCTGGAAATTGGTTTGTGAGACCGCCGTAATTGTGATATCTGTTTAGCTCACACTAAAAGTGCAAGGGTCCTGTGCAGTTTCTTGAGATACAAATGTGATTTCAAAACAAATTTATGACAACTTAAAAGCTTCTCCTTAGGCAGAAATAGGGTTTCTGTGTGTGTTCAGGTTCCTCACTGGTCTAAATATTTATATACAAAATGTGGAAGTGAATAGGGTCTAAATTCTGCACTCTCAATTCTTCCCCTATGCGAGTTTGGGAAACGATGTTCCTGTTGTATTTTTTTCAACATTCTCCCCTCCAAATCTGTGAATAATTATGAATGGTTATTCCATCCAGTCAATGAGGGTAATGTGAATTTATGAACTATATGTCAATTATGAGGTGTTACGGATACATAACCTGTCCTCAGGGAGGTTGTAATTATTCAGAAGAGATAAGAAAAAACACATGAATAATTACTAATCTTGGTAGAAAGCTGTAAGAGGCATGAGAGAGGCTTATGTGAGATACTATAAAATTTAAAAGCTCTATTCACCAGGAGCATCGGGAATGCCTTATAAAGAAACTGGTGGCACCTGAACTTGGGCCTTTTAAATCAGTACCTCCCAAATTTTCTGTGATAAAAACTATTTCCTCCCCGATCTGTTGGAGGCCAAAATTTGTATAGAGCACAATTAAAATTAATTACTAAGAAAATGAAATGAAGAGAATACAAAATGGAAGGCCAAGTTTTACCATTATGAGATTTAACAGGAATAAATTACCCTGTTGAAGTGTTACCCTCTTTCCTAAATACTCCCTCTCTGTTTTTGTACTCTGTCTCATTGCAGGGTGATAGACATTTCTTAGATCCCCATCCATGGACCCCAGTTTGAGTAGCATCACTGGAAGGACATGTAGAGAAAGGAGATTATATTTGCGGGGGGAGGGAGCAGGAGCAAAGACATAGAGGTGGAAACATTACACAGAGCTTTCTTTCACTTCTTCAAATATTTGCTATTTTCATGTCTTCCCCTTGCTCCCTGTTTGGGAATGTGTAATAACAGGTGAACTGAGGGCACTGGTCCAAAGCCACACCATAGATGGAATGGGATAGGATATGAAAAACATGGCATTGATTTGTATATAGGTATAGGACAACAGTGGGAAAAAAGAATTCTGGTTCTGGTCCTTTCTGTGCCTTTGACTGGCTAAGAATTAGTGAAATGTTCCCCATCTGCTTGAGCCCCATTTCCCACCTTGGTAAATCAAAAGTGTAGAGCAAATGTTTTCTAGAATTTCTTTCAACACTAGTAAGTTCCCATAGAAACAGCATTACTCCCAACAAAATACAACAAAGCTAAAAGCTAAACACAAATTGATAGGACAAATGCATGGAGAATATTTTTTAAAAGTCTCTGGTTATATTAAAATATACTAAAAGTGTATCATGCTCTTGTTATCGATGTGGGGGAAGTTTTATATTGGAATCTTAGGTAAACTTTTTTTTTTTTTTAAAGATTTTATTTATTTTATTTGAGACAGAGAGAATGAGAGACAGAGAGCATGAGAGGGAGGAGGGTCAGAGGGAGAAGCAGACTCCCTGCCGAGCAGGGAGCCCGATGCGGGACTCGATCCCGGGACTCCAGGATCATGACCTGAGCCGAAGGCAGTCGCTTAACCAACTGAGCCACCCAGGCGCCCCTCTTAGGTAAACTTTTCAAAAGGTGATGTTAAAAGCAAAAAATAAGGCTACTGTACCGAAGTATATTAAAAATAAAAAGCAAACTAATATAACAAGAATAAATACCTCAAATATCATAGCAACTAAATACATAGCAATAAAGAAAATTGAACATAGACAGTAATTGTGTTAATGAATATGTGTTAAGCCTTCTGGGAAACAGATATAAATTAAATACTATCTTTGCCTTCAAGAACTATCTTAGTTGCTTACGCTCTCTCAATCTTTGTTTTTGTTTTGCTTTATCTGTAGTATGGAAATAATCTTTAACTCATACTGTTAAATTTTGAGTATTGGGTAAAATATTTATAGAAAGCACTTAGCAGAGTTGTTGGCATATAGAATATCCTCAAAGATCAAAGTTATCCCATGCTTTATTTAAGTAAATAAGATATGCCTATTAAAAATCCATTAATAATACCTGATTTAAATTTAAGTTCCTCACGAAAATAGAACATAAGTCACAAATTGGTAAATAATCATTGCCAAATAAGGATTATGAACCATGAGAGAGAATGTAGAATTAATGTTTATTGAGTGCTTACAATATGGCATCACTATTTTATTTACTTTATAGGAATTAACTCATTTCATCCTTATAGAAAATATATAACCCTGTAAATGCTATTATTATTTCCATATTAGGAAATTGAAGCACTGAAATATTAAGTAATGTGCCCAACATCAACAGCTAATAAATTACAGGACTTGATTAGAATCCAGACTCCACTCTATACTTTTTTTTTCCTTCTAAAAATTTTTCCCTGGCTTTATTGAGATACACAGAAATCAAATGCACATAATCAGTGTCCATAACTTGGTGGGTTTGGACATGTGTATACATTTGTATTTCTGTCACCACAATCCAGGTAATAAACATATCCATCACCTCCAAAAGTTTAGGCTGGATAATTAGGAAAGGTTTTATGGAGGAGATTAGCTTTGGCTACACAGAAAATAGAAGAAGAGTATTCTCTTCTGAGTATATAGAATGAATAAAATGAATTGAGGCCAGGATTATTTAAGGAAAATTTACTTTAGGTGGAAAATATCTACCAAGTGCCTATAATGTGCAAACTACTCTGCTAAGTGATCCATATGGCTATAGGCAGACACGGATCTTACCTTTAAAGGTGCCTATAGTCTAATAGAGAATATATACAGAGTGATAGTGTTTAATCCTAGCACAAGACTGAGAGTAACAAGTGACTTAATTGAAGTTCAGCCACAGTTCTTTGAGAATTCAGAAATAGGAGAATAGACATCCCCAGGAAGGAATGGAAACATGTTTATGGAATGGTTAGCCTTTGAGTTAAGTCTTTAAAGGTATGCTAATAAAGATTTGGAAGAGGGGTGATAGTAGAGAAATGTCATTTCTGAGGAGGGAAATTTTAACATGATACAGAATAAAATCATTAAAGTGAATCATCAATGTGGGAAGGAACAAATATTGGGAAATAAGGTTGGAGAAGAAGGCAGGAGTCCTGATTGGATTCTGGATTTAAAAAAAAAAAAACTATTAAATATTTGGGGCAAGGTTAGAGAAATCTGAATATGAGCTACATATTCAATAATAAATCAATGTTAATTTCTTGAGTATGGTAGTGGCATTGTGGTTCTACAAAACAATATCCTTGCTTGTAGGAGCAACGTATTGAAATATTTAGGGTGACGTGTCTGCAACTTAACTTTGAAACAGTCTAGATAGATGATAGATCGATCAGTAGATCTACACATATAGATACAGATACAAATATAGTTATTTTGGGGAGGGCAGAATCACTTTAGATTAAAACAGCTAGAGATGCCATTACCACACAACTACCCAGGACACCCTTCTTCCCCAAAAATGTATTGAAGCCTCACCAATGAATTATTTTAAGACTCCTTTCTTGGGTGGGAGAAGTAGAGAGAGTTACATTCCTGTGCCTTCTAAACCTGAATATTTTAATGATTACAGTGCATCTTTGACATTTCCCTCTCTTGTGTATGTTTCCTTGTTTCCTACTGGACATATACCTTTTCCACTGCTGATGAGATGGTAGTCATTAGGGTGGTGATGATAGGAGCCGATATTTATCGAAAGTTCTATTCACAGTCATAGTCTGACTGACAGGTCTGGTGATGATGTCTTCATTTTTTAGGTGAGGAAACAAGAGTCAGAGTGGCTGAATGACTTGTTCAAGGTTACGTAGCTAATAAGTTTCAGCATTTGGACTCATTCTTCTCATCTCAAGTCCATGCCGATCCGTTACCATTATAGAAAGGCATATGTTGTTCCTGCAGCTTGTCAATAGTTGGCTATCCTGCCTCATGTCATCCTTTCCCTCCTGATGTCATGATCTTCAAGTGAGAGACCATCTGTGTCCAGGGCTGTAAGTTGTGTAGCTGGAACGTCAGTGTCACTGGCGATATATTTTCACTGGGTATAACACCTGAATTAACTGATGTGGCACTATGCATGGGCTTTTTGCCATGGCTCAGATACATACTTTATCACAGCACACCCAATACCTTCCTATCAACCGTGTTAGCTGACTAGCCCTTCTGTTGACCTTGAGAGAAGGCAAATTGCTGGTAACTACAGCACATCTTGTTTTCTTAGGTCAGTCCTTGATAAATATTACAAGTGGGAACCTTCAACTGAGTCTCAGCTTTTTTTTTTTTTTTAATGGTTTCTTCTAAAAAGGTTCTAGTTTTAGTGTTTCCATGCTCTCCCTCTTCTATCTTCATCAAAATCGGGGATTGTTGCATTACAGTATTAGGTAAGTACTGCCACAAGGAATGAAACCCATCATGCAGCAGATGGGTAAGTCAATATCTTTAAAGGAAAGACAAAATTCCCTCATGCTCTGAACATTTTCCATCTATTTAGGCTTATGTAATTGGGCTATAGAAGATTCCTAAGTATTTTTTCCATGGGTAGTGGGGTCCTTGAGTGGGCCTCAAAACACTACCTTGTATGGAGAAGAAAGGAAACATACAAGAAAATTGGAGGTAGAAAAGTCTCATCTGATTCAATAACCAGGCAGCGGGCCTCTGGCCCAAATCATTTGCAGCAAGGCTTCCATCTTAGAGCAACCTGTTTCCCTGGGCAACTAGAAAAGTATGTTTATACTAAAGGAGATT